TTGAGGGTAGGAGTTCCAGACCTAAGCAAGAGCAAAGCCCTGTCTCTACAAAAAAAAAAAAAAAAAAATAGAAAAATAGGATGTGGTAGTACGTGCCTATAGTCCCAGCTACCCAGGAGGCTGAGGCAGGAGGATCACTTGAGCTCAGGAGTTTGAGACTACAGTGAGTTATGATGACGACACTGCACTCTAGCCTGGATGACAGAGGGAGACTCTGCCTCATAGATATTTAGATAGATAGATAGATAGATAGATAGATAGATAGATAGAAATAGATAGAGATAGATAGATAGATAGATAGATAGATAGATAGATAGATAGATAGCAATGTATGGCCGGGCATGGTGGCTCATGCCTGTAATCCTAGCACTCTGGGAGGCCGAGGTGGGCGGATTGCTCGAGGTCGGGAGTTTGAAACCAGCCTGAGTGAGACTCCGTGTCTACTAAAAAAAATTGAAAGAAATTAATTGACCAACTAAAATATATATATACAAAAAATTAACTGGGCATGGTGGCACATGCCTGTAGTCCCAGCTACTTGGGAGGCTGAGGCAGTAGGATCGCTTGAGCCCAGGAGTTTGAGGTTGCTGTGAACTAGACTGATGCCACGGCACTCTAGCCTGGGCAACAAAGCCAGACTCTGTCTCAAAAAATAAAATAAAATAAAATAAAATCTAAGGGATATGCTGAACTATTTTCCAAGAGAAAAAAACCAAACAAATAATAAATAAAATCTAAGGGATAGATTTATAGGGGTTCAATATATTATTTTCTGTACTTCTATGGTTGTTTAAAATTTTTTCATAATAAGGCCAGCACACGCCTCTAATCCCAGCACTTTGGGAGGCTGAAATGGGAGAATCTCGTGAGGCCAGGAGTTTCAGACCAATTGGGCAACATAGTGAGATCGTTTCTACAAAAAGTAAAAAAATTAGCTGGGCATTGTCATGCCAGCATGTGCCTGTAGTCCCAGCTATTCATAAGACTAAGCAGGAGGATTGCTTGAATCCAGAAGCATGAGGTTGCAATGAGCTATATGGATGCCACTGCACTCTAGCTGGAGCAACAGAACAAGGCTTCATTTCAAAAAAAAAAAAAAAGTAAAATTGCAGAAAATTATTCTGCTCCCCTGTTTCCCAGCCACCAACACCTCCAGCCACTCTTACCAGTTTCTTATGTATTCAAGAAATTTATTTCCATTTTGTGTTAAAATATACAACATAAAATTTACCACCTTAGCCATTTTAAGTGTATAGTTTAGTGTTATTAACTATATTCATAATGCTGTACAACTATCACCACCATCCATCTCCATAATTATTTTCATCTTGTGGAACCAAAACTCTGTACCTATTAAACAGTAACTCATTTCCTCCTTCCCCAACCACTGGCAACTACCATTCTACTTTCTGTCTCTGATTTCAACTACCTTCCACAGATATTCTATGCCTATACAGTCGTCCCTGTCCCTTGGTATCCATGGGGTATTGGTTTCAGGAACCGCTGTGGATACCAAAATCTGAGGATGCTCAAGACCTTATTACATAAAATGGTGTAATATTTGCATAAAACCTACACACATCCTCCTTTATATTTTAAATCATCTCTAGATTACTTATGATACATGATACAATGCACACATGACTTCATTTGTAATGGATGCAATGCAGTACCCAGCACTTGGCAAATTCAAGTTTTGCTTTTTGGAACTTTGTGGAATTTTTTTCCTCAATGTTATCTGTTGGTTAGTTGAATCCATGGATGCAGAAACAATGGATATGGAGGGCCAACTGTATATGCAACACATTTTTTAAAACCACAATGGCTACAAAATGCACATCCTCTGGTGTATCTTTTCTTTCTTTCTCACTGTATCTTGGAGATCACTCAATATTAGCACATATAAAACTGGCTCATTCTAACAAATACACAAATTTATTTAACCAGTACTTCCAGATCACACCTGGAAACTCATATTTCTTGGTAGCCTCTTTCAGATTAAAAAAACAAAACACAATTGACTGCAACATTACCATTAGCAATTTCACATACTACAGGTGCAATTAGAGTATTCATAGGTAACTTGTCTGCCTAGGTGCTCTTATTCACTGGGTACACAAATTAATCCTCAACTTTCCACTAAGAAATTCAATTACAAAACACAAAGTAAGTGTACTTCTCTCTGAGCCATTCCTGGTCCCAGGACCAAGTAGTCTAGCACCTACCATATTTCTTACATCTCTTGTAGAGTAGCCTTCAGACTGTATGTGCTCTAATCTAGAAGTACAATAATCACCATTCACAGTTTTTCTTTTTCTGTTTTTTTTAAGACAGTCCTCACTATGTTGCCCAGGCAGGTCTCAAACTTCTGGTCTCAAGCTATCCTCCCACCTCAGCCCCTCAATAACTGGGACTACAGGCACGAGCCACCCTGCTTGGCTAGTTTTTCCTTTTTAAATATCCTCCTTTTAATTAAAGCAATAGGTTCTGAACATTAACCTGATCAGACTCTTTCACATCCTCTTCCTCCTTCCAGGCTATTGTAAAGTTTTCTTCAAAAACCATCTAAGTATTATCTAAGTAGGGGCTCCTACCATTTTCTAAACTCGACTTAACTGTAGAAAAAGAAAAAAACAGACTTAACTCTAGAAACTGTAATTGTAATGCCGTCTGCTTTCCCAGCAGAAGTGCTTAGAATATCTAACTTGGTGTAACAGGAAAAAGATGAGCTTTGGCATCTATTAGATGAATTTTGCCACTTACCCTGGCTAGGTTAGCTTAAGCAAATTACTACCAGAATCTGAAATGTCTTGCAAAACAATCACCTTCCACTACAGTATCTCATTAATTCTTTTTTGTGACACCTGAGTGTATTTGGCACACGTGCTACACACCAGATTCAGAGTCCAGAGTGCTCACCATTACAGCATGGAACCACCAGTGCTAAATAAATCCTAGTTGAATCCAAATGTTATCTTCCACTGTTTCATTCACCATCAAACTTGAGAACAGGGATTAAAACAAATTTTAAGACTTCCCATAGGATTTACAACAGCACTAAACTCTTAGCAAGTACTCTAAAGTTATTGTGGCTTGAATAATCTGGGTATAAACCATTATGGTTTATAAAGCGCTCATTTGGATGGAAGAGAAGAACTTCCCTTAACTAGGACGGCAGTCTCAAATCGCGAAAAGCCTCGGAAATCGCAAACTTCCCAACAAGGTGGCTTAATCTTACTCTCCAAGAGGATTAAACTGAACAGACTGAAGGAGGCGAGAGGGTGCAAAGCATGTCCTCTCCGTAATTATGCACCGAGATTCGAACTAAATATTAAACGGACACATACTAAAAGCTCCATAATTAGTTGCTATTATTAAGACGCATCCCACGAGGAGAGAAGGCGAAGAGGAGGAAAGAGAACGGAGGCTGGCACTCACAACAGGCCGAAAGGTGCCCCTGGCCTGAGACCCACAACCTTTAAGAACCAGGGTCTTTGGGCTCCCTGCTCAACTGAGAGCTGAAGAAAAGTCAGCGGCTTCTCCTAAAGGTCAAGGCTTTGGAGCCACATTTGCTTCTGGGGCTGCGAGCAGAGCTGGAACGCCCCCGCGAAAATCCGTACCCCGAACCCAGCAGCACCGCCCGCCCGTAAACCCGCGCCGGCTCTGGGAGAAGGACAACTGGGCTGCCCCTGCGCCGCAGCCTGCAGGAGCAGAGACCCGGCCGCGTCTTGCAGCCCCACAACCTCCCTAAGGGGCAGACCACCTGGATCCTCCGGCTCCGATCCGCTCAACGGAGGCCGGCCGCTCGATACTCACATTCACAGCCGACCCCTCTTACTCCATCAGGCCGCCGAGGGCCAGGCGAGGGAGCTCCCTGACGCCCCAGACGGCCCTTTCAGTTTCGGGTCCGGGAGCCTGCTCCGGACCCGCTCCCCGCCGGGCACCGCCGCCGCCGCCGCCGCCGCCAGCACGCAGGCGCACACCGACGCCGTCACGCTCCCTTTTTTCCCCCCCTTTGCGGTCCGCCTTTCTCAATACTCTAGCTTTATTTGAACACAAGAGAGTGAACAACGGACACAAGGGGAAAAGGCTTTTCGCAAAAAGAATGGAGGAACAAACAAAGGTGGACCAGCGGGCGCAAGACTTAGTCCGCTGCATTGGACGCTGTAACTAAGCCTCCCATGGACCCTTTTTCATTCTCTCCGTGCTCTTTCTGGGCCTCCCCTTGTCTCCTACTCTCTTCCGAAGTGCCCGCCATTCCCTTTAGAGAGTGGCAACTGTGTCGGCTAAATCTTCACACCACTCCTTCCTTGTGGAACTTAAAGTTTAATGTAAGCTGCAAGAGCTTTAGAACAGACAGACCTGTGTTCAAATCTTCTTTTAGCTACTAGTAATTTGTGACTTTGGGCAAATTACAAGTTTTCTCGGAACCTCAGTATCCCGAGTTAAAATTAGCATAATGATATCTCACAGGGTGTTGCCGGAATTAAATGAGATAACGTAGGACAACTAGTTGCCTATCCATGAACGATGCCTATCACAGAGTAGACATTCCATCAATACCAATGATTATATTCTTACTCATACCTAATAGTATTTATATTTGTCATTAAACTTAGTCCATACCTTCAGGACCCTATTTTAGTGACCAAGACTAGTCAGATAAATGAAGTTACATTAAGGTTGATAATGATGTGAAGTGTTACCCCTTCTATACTATTGAAATTATAATAACATCTCTATTTAACAAGACCTTCAAAGCAGCTACCTCCATTTATGTGTAAATCCAGATTTGCTTCTAGAGGTTTAGGAAACTTCCAATTCTGTATTTATGACATCACAAGTCCTTGACACACTCAAGGTCTGCAGTATGCTGTTCATTCTACCTCCTTTAAAGGCATGCAATGGAACCCTTTACCCTATAAGCTCAGGACCATAATCCAAGGAAAAGCCATAGAAGACCTCAAGGTCAGGTATTGGTGAGCACCAAGTAACCCTAGGTCAAGTTTTCTCAATCTTGGAAATGTTGACATTTTGGAGCAGATAAATCTTTGTTGTCAGGGGCTGTCCTATGCATTGTAAGATGTTTAGCAGCATCACTGGACACTAGATGCTAGTAGTACCCCCTCATCATCACAATAATCTACAAACATCTCCAGACATTGCCAAAGTCCCCTGGAGGGCAAAATTGTCCCTGATTAAGAAACATGGCATTATTATTAATGACCATCTCAACCCTAAATGAACTCAACTATACGTTTTATCTACTTCAACCCTCAAGAAATGATTACTACTTGAGAAAGCTACACAGAGGGGCAGAAACTGGTGAGTTCATTTTTATCAACAGGCCCTCAGTACTGCTTACCAGTCTTACTACTTTTCTCTGGTCAATTTGTTCTATCACTTTCTACAACAGTATTCCAAGTCTTCTCAACTTTCCTTAAAACTACCAATACCATGTCCTTTTCTATCAGGAGATGACCTCGCCTTCTACTTCACAGAGAAAACAGGTCATCAATTGAGAACAATTCTTTAACTTCCTGTTACTTAACTAAACACTGAAACTTACAAACACACACATACTTCCTCTTATTATAATTGAAGCAGTATCTTTTCCCCCTCTCTCTTCTTCTCTTCCAAGACCATTCCTTCTGCCAGTGCTTTGAATTGCCTCTACTCTTACCTTTTCAAGATCTTTACCTACTGACTATCCCTTCTCCTTTCTCTTTTTTTGTTGAACTGTTTTCTCTCAGGTGGATCTTCCCAACCATGTTCAAGTTTCTCCTATCTTAATTCTAACAACAACAATAAAAAATCTTGACCCCCTCATGATCTTCTCTCCCTCCTAGGGAGGCCAAACTTTCCAAAAGTATTCTACATGTCCCCATTTCTGCATCTCCCTCCTCTACAAACTATTGCAATCTATTTTTCAACCCCATCATTCCACCAGCTTTCACTTAGATCACCAATGACCTCTGTGTTACTAATTCAAAAAACATTTTTCAGGCTTCATCTTCCTCCATCTCTTAGGAATAGACTACCTCTTCTTTGAAACACTCGTTTTTTATTTCCAGCACTTTGTTTTATTCTTAGAAGTGGGTGGAAGGGTTCCTGGAGCCAGTGGTTTAAAATAATCATCCACTTTCTTAGGAAGGCATTATGCTGTTCTTGACATAGATAGTTTCCACAGCCTGGAAAACTATCTCCCTCTCTCCTGGACTTCCGGGGGAACTCCTGCTTATCCTTCATGACTCAAAAGTCACTTCCTCCAGGAACCCTTCCAGGCACCCCTAAGAATAAAACGCTTTGTTCACTGTGAGCCAAAGGCGCCTTGGATTTTCTACGTGCGGTGCGCTGTATTCTACCCACTGTAATTTGTTTACAAATCTCTCTCTCAGTCTAGGCAGATTAAAAAACCCTGTAAAGCAGGGAAAGCATTCTTTTCCTCAGTGTTCATCCCGCACAATCCCTGGCAAACGGCTTGCCTCTGATAAATGTTTGTTGCATGAACAACTCCCACCTTCGGGCGGGTCTGGAACCTATCCGGTTAACGGGTGAGTTCCCGGGCTCTCCGCCTGCGTGGCAGGGAGATTTAAACCCCCCCTGCACCATGATTGGCTTCAACTGCAGAGGTGTGTCCGCGCCGGCTGCGCCGGAGAAGTGCGCACGCGCGCGGGCTTGGCGCGCGCAGGCGCGACAGGGGTGCAGTTCTAAGTCCGGTCTGGGGGTGTCCGAGCTGCCGAGGCCGGAGAGGAGTGACCGGAACCGCTTGGTGAGTCTCCAGGAGTAGGACTCAGGGAGCTGGCCGGGATGAAGATTGGGAGAATGTCCTGAGGAGAAAGAGTATATCATGACGGTTGAAAAGTTGGTGAGGTCAGGCTTAAGAGGAGGAGGGGGCGCTTTGGCCCGGACTCGGCAGATCCGGCCGGAGCGAGGACGCAAGGCGCTAGGAGACGTTCGAGACGCTGGGGGAGGAAGGGTGGCAGGATGGTGGTCCCTGGACCCATCCTGGAAACCAAGCAGAGTTCAACTCCCACTTTCTCACCCCCACTGTGTTGCTGTGGTCGAGATTAATAGACTGTATGGTGAACACAGTGATCAGATAGCTCTGAGATAATTGTTTAAATAGGATTCCGAAGTTGTGGCATTGGATAGCCCTTGCTCTCTAGGAATGTCCACCCTTACCTCGCGGTTTTCCTGTACGAAAAAAAGAATCAGCAAAAGAATGAATTTCACAATTCAGAGTTGGAGTAGTGGGTGGAGGGGAGAGAGAAGTACTGTAAAGTGCTCTTTCACCTCATTCTTTTTTTTTTTATTTTTTAATCATTAGTCACTACAGTGTTAGGAAAGGTAGCTGATGGTAGGAGGAAATCAAAAAACAAAAAAAGTTGGGGGAGGGAGACGAGAGGGGAGTATAATTTCGCCTTTTGCTACTTGTCATCTGCAGTGGGGGTAGTGGGACGGCGACTAGGAGAGCGAGAGGGGAGTTTGGATACTGGCAGCTTTCTGACACTGTTCCCTCATGTGAAAGCAGTGTTGCTTCTTGGTAGCAGATATTCCAGGAATTGAGAGGGTTATTACTGCAACTGCCCTGCTACCACTAAGACTGTTTTTAAATATCCCAGTAAAATAGTAATTGTGCAAATATAGCCGTATAGAAATGATTCTTCCACGTTCTTGCCTATCCTGAAAAATACCACGCTTGAAATTCAGGAGACATCATTAGCTAGAATACTTTGAAATCTAATCTTAGAATGTTTCATAGCAAAGTAAGAAAAATTATTATTCTACCACCAGCAAAGTTGATGCCTCCATAGGCATCAAATGATCCCTTGTCATTCATTCTTTTAGCAGGAGGTATGAGAAAGAATGCATTCATATAAATATCAGCAGGTAGGACAAACACCTCTTCTCACATTACCATGTTGCTTTGACAGGGCATGTGAAAGTAAATGATCATATAACTTAGCTTGCTTCTTAAATATTTACCAGTCTTGTTAGGGTTTTTAGCTTGTGAGTATGCACTAGAAAATTGCTGTTACAGTTCAGGAATAGTGATGACTTTTTGTGTCATTATTTTCCTTACAATATTACGCTCTTTCTTCTAAATAGTAGAATTTTTGTATGCATCTTGGTGTTGGTTTCTTTTGCTGTGAATGAACATAAATACAGTACACAAGCTCACTTAACTAAAGGTCACATCCCCATCATTCAGAACACAATCTAGAACCAAAGGAAAGTAAATGAAAACAGGCCTATGCTTAAAGGATAGCTGGTGGATCTTCACTTATGAATCTTACCACCATCATGATTTTTGCCATTTAAAATACTTTCTGTTAATATTTTACTTCTTTTTTTTTTTTTTTTGAGACAGGCTCTTGCTCTGTCACATGAGCTAGAGTGCAGTGGCATCATTGTATCTCACTGCAACCTCAAACTCCTGGGCTTAAGTGATCCTCCTGCCTCAGCCTCCCAAGTAGCTGGGACTACAAGTATAAGCCAGCATGCCCTGCTAATTGTTTCTATTTTTTATAGAGACAGGGTCTTGCAATATTGCACAGACTGGTCTCGAATTCCTGATCTCAAACCATCCTCTCATGTTGGCCTTCCAAAGTGCTAGGATTACTGGTGTGAGCCACTGCGCTCAGCCTACTTCATATTTTTAATTTTTTTTTTAACATTACTCTTGTCCAAAGTGATAATCTGTGAAATCATGATTTTGGTGTGTTTTATACCATTTTCCTAGTATACGTTATAATGAATATGTAACTATTAAATGCACACCTTCCATATGTAACAGCTAAAATCATGTTCTTGCTTTGCACTTTGAAAAATACTGCTTTGGGCCTAATCTACTTACTTTTAAAATAAGAAGATAGGACTAAGGCCAACAGGCTTGAAAACTTTGTGAGCCCTTTGATGGATTCATTACTGTGACACAATTCTAGCAAACTTATCTGGTTGCACCAGATGAAAATAGATTAGAATAGCAAAGAGAAAAAAAGAGGATGTTTGCTCTTTGGTATTTTTGTGAAATCAGTCGTGTCTCTCTTTTTTTTTTTTTTTTTCTGAATTAAGGCTTTTTTCCCCTTTTTTGATTCCTATATCTCAAACATTCTGGACTTCTATTCTGGGGCTATTTGTACTCTGCATTATGTATGTGTTAGCATTTATACATAATGTTGCTTGCATTCAAGGGTGCTGAACTTTTAATTCTAGTATTAAATTTTGTTTCCAGATTTATAGGTTGAAAGAGGAACAGGTGACTGGGACAGCTCTTTTCTTTGTTGTGGTGGGTAGGGACTTGAAACAGATGGATCTAGTCAGTGCTCTAACAATTGGAGGAAATGGATTATGGAGCCAGGAAACAGCATGTAGTGTGCCTTTTTCAATATTGGGACTAAAAGGGCTCCATTTGCACTCATTTAAATTCACTGACATTTTGGTTTTGGTTTCAATTTAGATTGTATTGCAACTAAAATATTTAAATCACTAATCACTATATTTTTCTGGAATTACCTCATATTGATTTCTGTGAGTTCTATAACTTAGATTTAAAGTTTGTTTTAAATTAATTTTGACAGTGATTTGACAATTGAAATTACTTTAGATGGCCTTTTATTTATTTTTTTTTTTTTTATATTTTTTTTGAGACAGAGTCTCACTTTGTTGCCCAGGCTAGAGTGAGTGCCGTGGCGTCAGCCTGGCTCACAGCAACCTCGAACCCCTGGGCTCAAGCAATCCTGTTGCCTCAGCCTCCTGAGTAGCTGAGACTACAGGCATGTGCCACCATGCCTAGCTAAATTTTTCTCTATATATTAGTTGGCCAATTAATTTCTTTCTATTTATAGTAGAGACGGGGGTCTCGCTCTTGCTCAGGCTGGTTTCGAACTCCTGACCTCGAGCAATCCGCCCGCCTCGGCCTCCCAGAGTGCTAGGATTACAGGCGTGAGCCACCTCGCCCGGCCTTAGATGGCCTTTTAATGCTTATAAAATAAATATGAATTAATTTAATATAAATTAAAATAATATAAAAATCAAGCCAGGTGCAGTGGCACACACCTGTAGTCCTAGACACTCAAGAGGCTGAGACAAGAGGATCCCTTGAGCCCAGAAGTTCAAAACTAGTCCAGGCAACATAGTGAGGCACTGTCTCTAAAAGCATAAAATAAATTTATATTTCTTGATATAGTATTCAAAGCCTTTCACAATCTGTCTGGCAAACATTGTGTCTCCCTTTTTTGTAAAATTAAAAAAAAAAATTTTAAGAGACGGTCTAGCTTCTGTCACTCAGGCTGGAGTTCAGTGGCACAATCATAGCTCAC